TATTGAAAAAGAATCCCATATCATCATGAAACGAAATACAAAACAAAATTATCAGAGGAAGAGGAATTGATTGCAAAATAAAATTGAAAATTTGAGAACGAAACTGAAGAAATCAAGTGAATTGCAACAATATATAATATCATTGAATGACGTTTTCAATACAGACCAAATTCAAAATTTATTAGCAAAAAGGGAATGCAGCAGGAGGTGGGAAAACAAAACAATCTTTATGTTTTACAGTTTATCACTCGAGTATAGTTTTACATACAATGAGGAACTAGCTATAAATATATCCATATGTGTCTATTTTGTCATATTAAAATGTTGTTAAATGAATTCTTTATTTTCATTACTATTGTTCTGTGCAAAAGTGTATCGCTTTATAAATTGTGAAGTGGGTTTTTATACCCTATTTCTAGTTTCCATCTGCGACAATGATAGATTTGACAGAAAATATAACCTCTAAAAGCGTATCTGACAATAAGGCGCTACTAGGTAAATGGAAAAGACAAAGAGCAGAATATATGTATTATTCTTTTATTCACGCAAACCAGTGTAATATAGAAAATAGAAAAGGACAGAAGTTCAGCTGTGTCCGAACTCTTGCCTAACTAATACCATCCAGTGACTCTAGTCATACCTTGGTGACAACCCTATACAGAGTGATTGATGAGGAGAGTCACATAGTCGAATGCTGAATAGGGGAAATCAAGACGAGATGATGTATATACATACTTATATGAAAAATTTTGTTGGTCATCCTTAACGAAGAAATTGCCATATAATTTTGTATCATCGTGATTTGCTAAAATTTAGCAGCGACATTTCTCTATTGAAACTATTCAAGATGAGATATTACGTTTCTTGGAGGGCACACAAAACTATCTGTTAGGTTGAATTTGATGAGCATGCCCTGTCCACATCTAGAATACACTAACAGATTAACTGAATGAAATCATGAAACTAACTCATTTGGGGTCCAACTAGGGTTCCAATGAAAACGATCCAACTACTTCTGACATATGACAAAATACAATGTTTGCCCTCCAATTACCTACCAAATGATGTAATTCTGGAATGATTGATAGGCACACATTGGTCAGTACTAGGCCTTACCTCAAGGGCATCTAGATGACATTCATGGATGATTATAACATCATTCATAATATCCACAAATGTTATTATACAGGGTGTCCCTGGACCAGTGGGACAGTTGAATATCTCCTGAACCAATAGGAATTTTCAAAATATTATAATTTCACATCATATCGCATCATGAGTGCTAACTTCAGGAATGACTATATTTTATACGAGGGGCGCAAGAAAGGCTCACAAAATCGAACATCAATTTTTTCAAATGGAACACCCTGTATTTCATTGCATTTTTATATTCTCCTTGAAGAGCTGAATTCAATGACCTAGCACACTTGGGGTCTAGCGGGAATGATTTCCGAGATATAGGGTGTGGAAAATCGAGATATTTCATTTTTGAGAATTTTTTGTGTCAAAACTATTCATTATTGGTCAAAACGGCTTACATGTCCATGTCTCAACTTTTGATTTACTATTTACTCGTATTTAATTGGAACAAATACAGGGTGGTGTAGAATTCTCAGTTTCAGTCAGAATTCTACACCACCCTGTATTTGTTTCAATTAAATACGAGTAAATAGTAAATCAAAAGTTGAGATATGGACATGTAAGCCGTTTTGACCAATAATGAATAGTTTTGACACAAAAAATTCCCAAAAATGAAAAATCTCGATTTTCCATACCCTATATCTCGGAAATCATTCCCACTAGACCCCAAGTGTGCTAGGTCGTTGACGTCAGCTCTTCAAGGAGAATATAAAAATGCAATGAAATACAGGGTGTTCCATTTGGAAAAATTGATGTTCGATTTTGTGAGTCTTGCGCCCCTCGTATAAAATATAGTCATTCCTGAAGTTAGCACTCATAATGCGATATGATGTGAAATTATAATATATCGAAAATTCCTATTGGTTCAGGAGATATTCAACTGTCCCACTGGTCTAGGGACACCCTGTATACATAATTTCTGTGGACACTATTTACTTTTATACAGTTAACCTTGTGAAAAGCATAAAAGATACTGTTTCCAAGTTTACATCATGCAATCTTCTTGGAAATAATTGATAATGTATTATAGCAATTATGCATAATATACAGAGTGGCCCATCGAAAACGTACCGCAGGGCAATACAGACAGGGGAAGAACTTTTTGACAAAATCCAAAAACACGCCAAGTTTGTATGTCAGGGGGGCCAATAGTGACGCAAAAACACAGCCAAACCTTCAACCCCCTGAGTGAAGGAGTCATCCCGAAATTTAAATGAAAAGGAGGTCAAGTGATGCTTCATTAAAAAGGGCTCAAGGCAATATCAACAAACTGTATACAGGGTATGTCACGACGAGCTTACACTATCTTTATATCGAGAATCAGTCGTGAGAAATTCATGAAAATGTGAATGCTCATATTTTTGAATACGCTCTCTTCAATATTTTCGACAATGCTTCTACTAGAAAGTAGTAGCAACATTGATATTTCGAATGGAACACCCTGTATTTTATCGCATTTTTAGATTCTCCCTGAAGAGCTGATTTTATCGATGTATCACACTTGGGGTCTATTGGAAAAGATTACAGAGATAAAGGGTGTTCAAAATAGAGATTTTTTCTCCATCTCAATTTTTGATCCACTATTTACTGATATATAATCGGAACAGATACAGGGTGGTTCGAAATTCAGAATTCTGATTCTGATATAATACATACAAAGATTGGTGCGCCAAAAAAAATTCCACAAAAGCTGCATCGGAAAACATCGTTCACGTCAGTAATGATGTCATTACATATAAAGGGTGTCCCATTAGACATGGATCAAATGATGGGGTGGAAGGGGGGTCATTTCCAATCAAACTAACCGTAAATGTGGTTATCCAATTCTAGATGGTTCTCGGAGCGACGCACTACCTCACAATATATTTTGGTGAAAGAAATCTGTTTTGCTTCTTATCAAGTTTTAGGTTGCCTAAACCATGACTACCGTAACATTTAATTATCTAATGATGCAAATAAAATGCATGAAATACCGAAAATCCACAATTTTTTCACTAGAATTGCACCACCAATGCGAAATGCCACAATTATATCAAGTCCGGACCCATTTCCTAGAATAATTCCGCAGAGTTATCCCCACCATTCACGATTTCATTCATTCATCCGTGTTTGGCGTTTAGGATTGTTCGCGTATACTTTTCAACGATTTATGACGTTCTATGAATTAATCACGGTGACTATCTATTGTTATAACCACCACCCTACCTTAACGAGCTCTTTGACGATGGGGTTGTGAGGCAAGTTATCGAATACACCGTCGGTAGCCACCAAGATAACTTCCCCGTCCTCCACGGAAAATCCTCTGAAACCGCCGAATCCGGCCGGTACGAGAATACCTACTGCCTGCATCCGGAAAGAGGCAACGACAGCTGAAAGGGCGTGTTGAAGTAGTGCTGTTGCTCCTCGGAGCGACGGACCACCTCACAAAATCCTTGTGTTTTGCTTTTATCAAGTGTTGAGTTGGGTAGAAGAAACCATGAGAACAGTAACATTCAATTATCTAATGATGCATAAATAATGCATGAAATACCGAAAATCTTCCATTGTTTTCACTAGAATTGCACCAGCAATACGAATTGCCACAGTTATACAAAGTCCGGATCCATTTCCTGGAATTATTCCGCAGTTATCCCCACCATTCACGATTTCATTCATTCATCCGTGTTTGGCGTTTAGGATTGTTCGCGTATACTTTTCAACGATTTATGACGTTCTATGAATTAATCACGGTGACTTTCAATTGTTATAACCACCACCATATCTTTACGAGCTCTTTGACTATAAGGTTGTGCGGCAAGTTGTCGAATACACCGTCGAAAGCCACCAAGATAACTTCCCCGTCCTCCACGGAAAATCCTTTGAGACCGCCGAATCAGGACGGTCCGAGAATACTTACTGCCTGCCTCCAGGAAGCGACAACGACAGCTGAAAGGATGTGTTAAAGTAGTGCTGTTGCTCTTCGGAGCGACGGACCACCTCGCAACGTCTTTATGTTTCGCTTTTATCAAGTGTTGAGTTGGGTAGAAGAAACCATGAGAACAGCAACATTCAATTATCTAATGATGCATAAATAGTGCATGAAATACCGGAAATCCATTTTTTCACTAGAATTGCACCAGCAATACGAATTGCCACAATTATATCAAGTCCGGACCCATTTCCTGGCATTATTCCGCAGAGCTATCCCCACCATTCACGATTTCATTCATTCTTTCGTGTTTGGCGTTTAGGATTGTACGCGTATACTTTTCAACGATTTATGACGTGTTATGAATTAATCACGGTGACTTTCAATTGTTATAACCACCACCATACCTTTACGACTATAAGGTTGTGCGGTAAGTTGTCGAATACACCGTCGGAAGCCACCAAGATAACTTCCCCGTCCTCCACGGAAAATCCTTTGAGACCGCCGAATCAGGACGGTCCGAGAATACCTACTGCCTGCCTCCAGGAAGCGACGACAGCTGAAAGAATGTGTTGAACTAGTGCTGTTGCTCTTCGGAGCGACGGACCACCTCGCAACGTCTTTGTGTTTTGCTTTCATCAAGTGTTGAGTTGGGTAAAAGAAACCATGAGAACAGCAATATTCAATTATCTTTTGATGCCTAAATAATGCATGAAATACCGAAAATCCACCATTTTTTCACTATAATTGCACCAGCAATACGAATTGCCGCAATACTAATTAATCCGGACCCATTTCCTGCAATGATTCTGCCGAGTTATCCCCACCATTCGTGATTTTATTCATTCATTCATCTGTGTTTGGCGTTTCGGATTGGTGCCGGATACTTTTCATCAATTTAATTATGAACCACCGTGTCTTTTCATTGTCAATCAGTCTGAGGTCACCCTACCTTAACGAGCTCGTTGACGATAAGGTTATGCGGCAAATTATCGAACACCCCATCGGTAGCCACCAGGATCACGTCCCCGTCCTCTACCGGAAAATCCTCTGTGACTGCCGAATCTGGTCTGTCGGAGAGCACCTCCTGCCTGTATCCAGGCGGCGGCAGCGACAGCTGGAAGGGCGTGTTGAAGTAGTGCTGTTGCTCTTCGGAGCGACGGACCACCTCGCCGCGTCGCACCACCATGTAGCCGCTGTCACCGATGTTGGCGGTGTAGAGGTGGCAGGTCTCGGCGTTGAGGAGCACCACGCAAGCCGTACTGCTACCTGGAATTGCAAAAAAAATCACGATTGAAGAAAATACGATTTTTCTGCAACTAACACAAAAGTCGTCCATTTTGATACCAAAATTAGCTCTTGAATTGACGTTTTTATTACTGACACAATAATAGGTATGTTGCTTGGCAACATATTTAGTTCCTGGAGCTAAAAAGGATGTACTAGATGTGATCAAGAATGAACAATATTGTTACGGTTGGTTATTTGGGTTGGGACGCATACCTGATTGGTTTCCGATTTCGGCAGATTTGGCATTTCATACCCATGCTGGAGATATAAATACACCTTCTCATAGTTAAGTATCGAAATTATAATCATCTCAGTTGAGTATTTTTGTTTTTATCAGGAAAGTCTTCAAGATTCACATACTTGCTTGATCTGTATTTCATTCGTTATTCTCGGTATGGATAACTTGTTTTTGAATAATCACAGTAAGCAATAGTTTTTTGTCTCTTGTCTCAAACAACGATATTGTTTACCTCTATTTGATTATCAAGTCGGACACAGTGTAGTATGGAGAGGAATAAATAATCGCTATTATTATTGTTGATATGCTCACTAACCTAACATTTTCCAAGCCCTATACCTGGCACTGGCGCGACATTTGCTATCAGAGCACCTGGTCCATACACATGTCACTCTGTGGTTGTATTTTTATTGAAACTACAATTCGAACATCCTTGAAAATTGAATAAACCTGCTGTTAATGCAGGTAGAATATTCTCACCACTCGGATTATTTGTTGCATTGCATACATATGGCACGGCATTGGTGCGGTTACTTCACATATTCATTTGATTTGATTGTTTCGGTTGCAGAAAAAATAGCATGTTTCATTCGGATCAAAAGTGACTTTATGATATGAACCTGACGTGTGAGTATCCTAAAAAAAATACTGAATAAGCAAGATTCGACGTATTTCTGTAAAGTGCGCGCGCACAAAAATGGCTGCGGCCTCAACTGAAAAATTCTTGCCAGTCGAAATCGACTGACATGGCAGTCAGAGTGTTAAATCATGATTTTTTCGATTTATACAGGTTCTTTCTTTATTTTCATTATTTTTCTCTATTCGCCGAAACATATTTTTTGTCTCGATTTGAAGTTAGAAAATCACCTCGGCGACATACAGAAAAAACTTATTGTATTGCCATGATAATTTTCGGCAGCCTGTCACGTCTCTTCTGTCCAAACAATGTGTGGCTGAATGAATATTTATTAGTTTTGTTTTTACACATACATATAGTCCAAGAGCTGGCTGCAAATTTCGACTGTCATCTGATAACGAAATGCTATATATGTCCCAAGGGCATGTGAATTTATTGTATTTTATCGTAAGACACCTGCGTCAATAATCACTATCCTGAGCAAAATTATTGAAAAATTGCACTTTCCTGTGCGGTAATTCGCACTTAATTTCACGATTTGATAACGAGATGAGAATTGTGCCTTTTGATACCAATTGAATAGTAGATATCAACAACCTACCTGTGCCACCTCTTAATCTGAGCCAAATCCACGACAGAGGGGTTTATTTGCTGCCGTTATTCCGGACATAATAATAATAATAATAATAATAATTTATTCGCCATTTAGGTACAGTGTGTACATATGGTAAGTCATACAATGCGTAAGTCACATGATACAATAAAACCAAATTGTAGATCATTGAGTAAAAATAACAATCGTATGAATAAATAAAATCAAAACGGATCTGACGACAGCACAACACAGGATACATAATATATTTAAAAGTGAAACGATTAACAGTATAAATAAAATCATAGACTGAGTCCAAATGACCACGACCATATATAATTAAAATCACTGAATTAAAGTTGTATTACGGAATAGGATGACAGCACACTACAAGTAAAATAATTCACAATAATGGATCATTCAAATATTCTTGATAGGAATAGTAACATTTGTCAGTCAGCAAACATTTTATTTTGTTAAAAAATAATCTATCACATTCAGAATTTTTAATTTCCGTTGGCAGTTTGTTGTAGAAACTCAGTGCTTTGTAGAGAGGAGAATTTTGGAATTTCGTGGTTTTGTGGTTTGGTATTTTTAGGTGACTACCATTGCGTGTGTTGTAAGCATGCGAAGAAGCATTGGTATCGAAGGATTTCAAGTTGCTTCTAATGCATTTCAAACATTTCGAAATATAGATGGATGGAGCAGTCAACAATTTCTCTCTTATAAATATTGGTTTGCAACTATCTCGATAGTCCATATCAAATATTAATCTTACGATACGTTTCTGCCCTATAAACACTCTACCAAAATCTTTACCACATCCCCATGACATAGTGTTGAAGGAAATGTGTGAGTATACCATTGCATAATAAATGCTTAATAAACTCTCCTTGCCTACACATGTTTTCATTTGCTTAATTGCAAAGAATGCTGAATTTAGTTTCTTGCATACATGATTGATATGATCTACATATCAATCATGTATGCAACCAGTCTAACCGCTCATCTACAAATGTCCCGTCATGTGATGACGAGTAGAAAAAAGAGCAAAATCCCCTTTGCGAATATCCAAATGTGTCGCGATTTCAACTGAGCTAAGTTAGTGGCATAGCCTCAGTATTTCCGAGAATATTTCGCACCGAAAGATAATATCCGATGGACCAGTGTGAAACTCAACAAGTAGATTCGAATGCTTGTAGTGCGAGCACCACGGGTGCGTAGCGCGATGCCCAATTCCCACGATGCCCACTTCCCACGATGCCCAATTTCTACGATGCCCACCTTCATGTCGACGATTACGAAGATTGCCGAAGAGCGCAACGTTGCCAGGTCAAGAGAAAAATTCAGAAAACACAAGATTCCCACCATGCCCACTTTTCATACATTCCCACGATGCCCAATTCCTACCATGCCCACCTTGTTCAGATTCCCACCATGCCCACCTTCTTTGGATTCTCACCATGATCAAGGTGGGCATAGTGGGAACCGGGCATCATGGGAATGTATGGAAAGTGGGCATGGTGGGAATCTTGTGTTTTCTGAATTTTTCTCTTGACCTGGCAACGTTGCGCTCTTTGGCAATATTCGTAATCGTCGAGATGAAGGTTGGCATCGTAGGAATTGGGCATCGTGGGAATTGGGCATGAGTTTCACCGTGGTCCATCGGATATTATCTCTCGACAGGGTCGGAATATTCTCGGAACTTCCACTAACTTAGCGCAGTTCAAATCGCGGCACGTTTGGATATTCACAAATGGGACTATATCCCTATTCATTTGCTTTTCGTTTCAACTCGTTATCACATGACCGAAGTATGTAGGAAATAACAGCAGCAAATACATCGCTGTGCCATGGATTTGGCACAGATTAAGGGGTGACACAGGTAGGTTATGAGATAATAATAACTTTATTGAATTTGAAATAGGAATCCTAATACACAAGTTAGATATAAATATCAATAATAAACTATTGAAGTACATTTAGTAAATAAATATACACAGACATTTACAAGAAGCCATGTTTATGGCTTAAAACACTTGAAAATATCTAGAAATGTAGAAATGCATTCAAATTAAATCAAATCATGTTCTTTATGAATATATTTGAGCAATTCTACCCTGAACTTTTCAAACAATGAGATGGATTTCAATGTACAGGGCAAATCATCAAATTTGACAAGGCCTTCAAAAAATATAGTGCTAATTGAACTTCTGTAGTTTGTTCACCTTATATGAAGTTTGTTGTTGTTTCGAGTCAAATAATTATGGATATCTTTATTGAAGGTAATTATTGTGGTTCGCAAATATGTTGGGGTCTTTTTATTCATAAAAATCATAGAACAGTAGTACAATCTTTGAGATACTGAAAGATCCACCATTCAATTGGTATCGAATGGCATAATTCTTATTTGGTCATCAAATCGCGAAATTGATTGCAAATTAACGCACAGGAAAGTGCTATTTTTCAATCATTTTGTTCAGGATAGTGATTGGCACAGGTACCGTTCGATAATAGTATATTATGTAACAAGTGTTATAAACGTCCTTTTAGTAACGGGTATTTTAAGCACGAGCGGAGCAGAGTGGAGCGAGTGTTTGATGAACGGGTGTCTAGAAGAGTTCATAAACGCGTTACATACTATGATTCTTCTTCTAAAAAAGTTGTTATTTCAATCTAATAAAAATATGAAACTCAGAAAAACTGGTGGCATAAGATGACATTATTAAATTAACCCACTGTGACGCCCCTGGAAATATTATTTCGAATCTAATTGTACCAGAAGAAGCTCCATATTAATATTAACAAAACCACAACGTTTTATTGAAATTGATGGAAAGACAATTGAGTAATATTAATACCCTGTAATACCGGTGTAATTTATAGTGTTAAAATAGTCACAGTCTAATATAATAATATGTCGGGTTATAGGTAAGGAATACGAAAATGCTAGGTAAGGTTTTCTGTTGTATAACTTAGACTCATGTGCTCATGTTAACAGAATATTTCCATTCTGTGAACAATAACCAATTTATTCAATTATATAGGGACCGTTGTTATGTTATAAAAACATACGCGAACTAATTTCTACCAATAAAGTGTCATATGATTGGTAACAACAATTATTAAATGAGATGAACTCGCTATAAACATTTCACAACTATGCACTGCGAACTCGTACGAACTAGACATAGTGAAAAAAAGAATTCAGAATAACCATGACCAGTCCAATCAGATAATTCGAAGCTCTGTATCCTTCCTTATTCAAATGATATCAACAATTCATGTAGAGTACAATCCTAATATATTTAATCATATTGGAAAAGTTATATTCAATACTTATTCAATTCTTTGGGCCAGGTTACGCTTAACCGCCCAGTAAACACAACACGTTTCATAAACATTTCAAAAGTTCCCTAATACGTGTCATCTGAAACATTCCAATGTTAACATAAAGGAAACATTTCTGGAGTTCTCCATGCTATGTGAAATATTTCAGAAATATGTCAATACATACGTCTC